ATATGTGGAAAATAATAAACTTTAGACACAGAATGAGTGACTATAGGCAATCTCCCTGAGATTGTTTAGTCTCCCTGAGACTATTTTTCTAACACTCCCGGAGTGTTGTGTTCCCTGAACACATTTTGGCTTAAATGGATATCGGACTAATCAGAGCCTCCCAGTTTCCTTGTATCCAACTTGTACAGGTTATATAGAAAATAATTCTACTTACCGGACAAGTGGATGGTCACTGAGCGGATGATACCGATATCCCGGACGAGCCCCCCAAAACTGTTGGTTCTATTGACCCTTAGACCCCTGGTCTAAGTTCTCTGTCACTCGTTCTGTCTCCTCAGGGCCTGGAGAAGCATTGGTTACAAGTAATCACACATGACACCGTCTTGTCAGTAACCAAAAACTTCTAATTTATTCCACAACGAAAGCTCTCTTTTATAGTACAATATAACGTGCAAGTGAGAATACAAACATTTACGTCAATCCTGAATAATGATGAGAAGCAAAATTTAATTATCCAAGAATAAGGAATGTCTATTTCATAAAAACTTATCTGCTACATACAATAGAATCTCGCTAGATACTTTTCAAGGCTGTGAACATGATCTTTCTCAGGCATTTGTAATTAGTTATAAGTAACAAACAATTATTTTCTCATGGAACAGAAATATTTGACATTTAATTGTATCATAACAGAAACAGGTGCTTGTTAATACAAAGAAATAATTGGATACTTTCACCGTCTCTACCAAGGCTAAGCTAAGATAAAAGATAGAAGAATGTTGTGAGTATAGTTCTGTAATACATAACTGACATAGCATATTTTCATTAACTCATTCTGGTTATAATACAAAACAATTAATCAACATGTTGGTACAAAATGGAGTGGGGAAAACAAAATGACAGACCTAAAAGACATACATTTCCCTTCAGGAGGGCTCTGGTAACCACAGACCTCCTTTAGAGGTTTCCTCCTTCAGAGTTCCCCTTTACATCACAGTCCGTAGTATTCCCCTTTACATCAAAGTCCACAGCTTTCCCCTTTACTGTCTTTGGGGGGGAATGTGGTGCTAAGAATGTGATGATTTGGTACACCAGGGTGTACCGCACAGGTATGTGGTGTTGTGCTGCAAACAAAGGCAGCTTTGCTGTGTCTGGAACAAGTTAAGGCCCCTTTCACACTGACGGTCCAATCGGGTCCACCTGTTGGTTTTTCAGATGGACCCGATCGGACCATCCATAGACCTCTATGGACCAGTGGGTGTCAGCGGACAAGTCCGCTGACACCCACTGGCATCCAATCCGATCCTGTACGCCAAAAACAGACAGATGGGGATCTGGATCATCCAACCACCCCATAGAAGACAGCGGGCGATGTCTGTGTCCGCTCTGCAGCAGAGGAGCGGACACCGACCTCTCATCTGCCTGCTCAGCGGGGATCAGCGGAGAGATCAGCTTTTGTAAGCCCTGATGAATGGGGACATTTGGAACCTCCAAAGCACGTTGGCTTGTCTTTCGATTTTCTTACAATTAAATAATATTTCATAGGGGGTTATTTACTAAAACGGGAAAGTGCAAAATCTGATGCAACTCTCCATAGAAAACCAATCAGCTTCCAGTTTTCATTTATCAAAGCTTCATTGAACAAGTTGAATTTAGAAATTGATTGGCTACCAATCCCAACCTTCCACCGCTCTTGAAGTAAGGGGCGAGGCTGTAGAGATCCTACATGTTATTAATGGCTGTAGGTAGGGTGGCCACCTCATAGCTCTAAACCCGAACACATATGAATGATACGGGTTCTGGGGCTGAGTATGGTGGGAATTAAACACACTTAGTGCCATATGTGCAATAAATTAGCCTCAGAACCCATGTCATTCATATGTGTTCCATTTTAAAGGGGATGAGGCGGCAACTCTAGCTGTAAGGCTGTTGGCCAGGTTCTGATTTGTGCCGGGCATTATGGGTCAGCAACCACAAAATCAACTGATACTCTATTAATTTGAATTCATGAAATTTGACAACACTAGAAAAACGAAGGCTGCAGATTTCATATTCTCCACAAGGCGGTCATCTCTTTTATTGTCATAGAGGCAGACAGACAGGAAGTGATGTAAAGTACAGACAGGAAATGATGGCTCATGAGACTTGGAGAGGAGACATTGCTAGAACTGGCAGCAGAGGAGGTAATATTATAATATTTATTATTTATACCCAGTAATTCCCCCCCCCAGTCATGTCTGTCCATAGTCACTGTGACTTCTTTTATCTTCTGTAGAGCCATTTATCCAACTTTTATTTCAGAGCCTCTGGTTTATAGACCGGATACATCTTAAATATAGAACCATTTATCCAACCGTCCATCCAGAGCCTCTGGTTTATAGACCGGATACGTCCTAAATATAGAACCATTTATCCAACCGTCCACCCAGAGCCTCTGGTTTATAGAGCGGATACGTCCTAAATATAGAACCATTTATCCAACCGTCCATCCAGATCCTCTGGTTTATAGACCAGATACATCTTAAATATAGAGCCATTTATCCAACCGTCCATCCAGAGCCTCTGGTTTAAAGACCGGATACATCCTAAATATAGAACCATTTATCCAACCGTCCACCCAGAGCCTCTGGTTTATAGAGCGGATACGTCCTAAATATAGAACCATTTATCCAACCGTCCATCCAGAGCCTCTGGTTTAAAGACCGGATACATCCTAAATATAGAACCATTTATCCAACCGTCCACCCAGAGCCTCTGGTTTATAGAGCGGATACGTCCTAAATATAGAACCATTTATCCAACCGTCCATCCAGATTCTCTGGTTTATAGACCGGGTACGTCCTAAATATAGAACCATTTATCCAACCGTCCACCCAGAGCCTCTGGTTTATAGACCGGGTACGTCCTAAATATAGAACCATTTATCCAACCGTCCATCCAGAGCCTCTGGTTTATAGACCGGGTACGTCCTAAATATAGAGCCATTTATCCAACCGTCCATCCAGAGCCTCTGGTTTATAGACCGGATACGTCCCAAATATAGACCATTTATCCAACCGTCCATCCAGAGCCTCTGGTTTATAGACCAGATACATCCTAAATATAGAACCATTTATCCAACCGTCCATCCAAAGCCTCTGATTTATTCCAGTCTTTTATTTATAGACCAGATGAATCCTAAATATAAGGGTTATAGCTCAGATAGGTTTTAAATAAAGCTGGGACATTAAATTCCAACAGTGGGGACTCACCACTATTGGGAATACATTGATCAGCGGCCTCAGCTGCTGACCAACAAATGTTCTCCAGTTTGTCCCTTTGACCAGGAGTAGGGACGGGCACACGCTGATCGAATTTTAAACAGGGCTTGCTGAATCGGCCTGAATTGCAATCCGTCCATGGTGAGCTTTTGAGACTATTTATCCGCTTGCAATCCTCCATCTCTGTTTTGTCTCATGTGATCCTGAACATCAATTGAGCACGGATATCGCCAGAGTTATTTTGTTGACCTTGGCTCTCACTGTGATTTCTTCTCACTTCCTGTTCTTCCTGACATCTGTCACTTCAACAGAAGTTCTAATCCCCATCCCCATCCAAACTTATACTAACCATGTTCTTGCTGATGTTAGGCTTTAAATAAAATCTCTATTTTTTTTTTGTTGAGTTAAATTGATAAACAAGACCTCTAATCTGGTATAACAAGCAGTATGAACTCTGGAGGAACTGTGTGCAGACATCATTCATCCCGGTCCAGTCCAGATAATTCTCAGTTTATTATCCATCTACAGAGAGTCCTGTATAGATCACATGACCTCAATGATGACGATAGAGAGAAAGACCAAAGTCACATGACAGAGAGGATACTGGACTGCACCCTGGAGATCATCTATCTGCTGACCGGAGAGAGGTGAGGAGGTCACATGACATCACTCTTATCTCTATTAGTAAAACACAGACCTGACCGGAGAGGTGAGGAGGATTCTGGGAGGTCACATGACATCACTCATCTCTATTAATAAAACAGAATTGACCGGAGAAGTGAGCAGGATTCTGGGAGGTCAAATGACATCACTCATCTCTAATAATAAAAAAGACCTGACCGGAGAGTTGAGGATTCTGGGATGTAACATGATGTCACTTTTATCTCTATTAATAAAACACAGACCTGACCAGAGATGTGAGGAGGATTCTGGGAGGTCACATGACATCACTCTCATCTCTATTAATAAAACACAGACCTGACCGGAGAGGTGAGCAGGATTCTGGGAGGTCGCATGACATCACTCCTATCTCTATTAATAAAACACAGACCTGACCGGAGAGGTGAGGAGGATTCTGGGAGGTCACACGACATCACTCTTATCTCTATTAATAAAACACGTATCTGACCAACGTGCTGGGTGGCATTCTGGGAATATTACACAATCATCTTAATATTCATTAAAGGAGGGTTACATTTATCCGGTGAAGATGACATGACCTGATATGGGGAAGATTCTGGAAATTTCACAGCCTCAGTTCAGTAAGCATTTCTAATGATGTCTCTCAATAGGGTTACACAGTAGTGAAGAAGACATCTGGTGAGGATGTGACCTCCAGTAGACATCACCGGGAGTCAGAAGGACGAAGAGGAACTCCGAGACCCATCACTGTCCCTTCATCCGTGTCCCTGACTCCTTTATTTGACAAAAAGAAGATTCTAGACGTCACCAACAAGATCTCTGAGCTCCTGACAGGAGAGGTGAGCGGTGCCGGGAATTCTGGGACATTCTCCAGTAACAGACAAGGGATGTGTCTGGATGGTGACTGTATCATTGTGTGTGTCAGGTTCCTATAAGGTGTCAGGATGTCACTGTCTATTTCTCCATGGAGGAGTGGGAGTATTTAGAAGGACACAAGGATTTCTACAAGGACGTCATGATGGAGGATCTGCAGACCTTAAATGATGAAAAATTTGGAGAAAAAAAAATTTTCTTGAATGAGATGATATTGGACCTCACCCTGGAGATCATCTACCTGCTGACCGGAGAGGTGAGGAGGATTCTGGGAGATAACATGACATCACTGTTATCTTTATTCATAAAACACAGACCTGACCAGAGAGGTGAGGAGGATTCTGATATTATATGTATTGCTGTGTTTCACAGGACTGTTCTGTAGTCATGAAGACATCTCTTGAGAATAATACAAAAAGGAAAAATTGCCGCTTCTCTACAAGTAGGAGAAAAATACTTTGCCCAATCATTGCGTCTCCACCTACCTTCTTGACTCTTGAGAGAAATAGCAATAAGAAGATTCTAGAAGTCACCCAGAAGATCATTGGTCTGCTGACAGGAGAGGTGAGCGGTGCCGGGAATTCTGGGACATTCTCCAGTAACAGACAAGGGATGTGTCTGGATGGTGACTGTATCATTGTGTGTGTCAGGTTCCTATAAGGTGTCAGGATGTCACTGTCTATTTCTCCATGGAGGAGTGGGAGTATTTAGAAGGACACAAGGACCTCTACAAGGACGTCATGATGGACAATCAGCCGCCCCTCACATCACCGGGTAAGAGGAGCCTTTATTGTAAAGGTACAGAAGGACTTTTCTTTGACAGTCTTCTGACATTTAGGGTGACTTGCAAATGCTAGTAACACAATCTATATACAGTTATTTGTTTTTTAAATGTTTGGTTCCTTTCCTTTTAAAAAATTATGGTTTATATATCTATCAGTTATATAAGTCTGCACTGTCTATGTTAACCTTGTCCAACATAGAAGAGTACAAATCCCAACATGCTTGAGAAGTGCTAAGATAAAAATATCATCAAGGTACCATTGAGTCAAACCGATTTGTATTCACCACAATGCCCAACAAATAATGTGGAGATACTGGACACCATATGAAAGGTCCATCTCCATTCCTCAATATAACATCATGTTCCCAACAAATGAGGAGATACTGGACACCATATGAAAGGTCCATCTCCAATTTTCAATATAACGTCATGTTCCCAACAAATGAGGAGGAGATACTTGACACCATATGGAAGGTCCATCTCCATTCCTCAATATAACGTCATGTTCCCAACAAATGAGAAGGAGATACTGGATACCATATGAAAGGTCCATCTCCATTCCTCAATATAACATCATGTTCCCGACAAATGAGGAGGAGATACTGGACACCATATGAAAGGTCCATCTCCATTCCTCAATATAACGTCATGTTCCCAACAAATGAGGAGGAGATACTGGACACCATATGGAAGGTCCATCTCCATTCCTCAATATAACGTCATGTTCCCAACAAATGAGGAGGAGATACTGGACACCATATGAAAGGTCCATCTCCATTCCTCAATATAATGTCATGTTCCCAACAAATGAGGTGGAGATACTGGACACCATATGAAGGTCCATCTCCATTCCTCAATATAACGTCATGTCCCCAACAAAATGAGGAGATACTGGACACCTTATGAAAGGTCCATCTCCATTACTCAATATAACGTCATGTTCCCAACAAATGAGGAGGAGATACTGGACACCATATGGAAGGTCCATCTCCATTCCTCATATAACGTCATGTTCCAAACAAATGAGGAGATACTGGACACCATATGAAGGTCCATCTCCATTCCTCAATATAATGTCATGTTCACAACAAACGAGGAGATACTGGACACCATATGAAAGGTCCATCTCCATCTCTCAATATAACGTCATGTTCCCAACAAATGAGGAGGAGATACTGGACACCATATGAAAGGTCCATCTCCATTCCTCAATATAACATCATGTTCCCAACAAATGAGGAGGAGATACTGGACACCATATGAAAGGTCCATCTCATTCTCAATATAACGTCATGTCCCCAACAAATGAGGAGGAGATACTGGACACCATATGGAAGGTCCATCTCCATTCCTCAATATAACGTCATGTTCCCAACAAATGAGGAGGAGATACTGGACACCATATGAAAGGTCCATCTCCATTCCTCAATATAACGTCATGTTCCCCAACAAATGAGGAGGAGATACTGGACACCATATGAAGGTCCATCTCCATTCCTCAATATAACGTCATGTCCCAACAAATGAGGTGGAGATACTGGACACCTTATGAAAGGTCCATCTCCATTACTTAATATAACGTCATGTCCCAACAAATGAGGAGGAGATACTGGACACCATATGAAAGGTCCATCTCCATTCCTCAATATAACGTCATGTGTCCCCAACAAATGAGGAGGAGATACTGGACACCATATAAAAGGTCCATCTCCATTCCTCAATATAACGTCATGTCCCCAACAAATGAGGAGGAGATACTGGACACCATATGGAAGGTCCATCTCCATTCCTCAGTATAATCCATGCACAGTCAGTGTCATTCAGTCTTCTATAGTTTTTATGTGTTTTATATTTGATGTTTTCATGTATGACTGGTGAGGCTGAATGTGAAGATTACTTTGTATTCCATGTTTTGCTTTCTGCCAGAAGGACTCCATGTTGGTAGAACCTCGGAGGAAGATCTTACTTTACCTCCAGGTTATGATGCAGAAATCGATGACGTTGCTCATTATTCTCCAGGAGTAAACCTTCGCTCTCAATATCTGCCCCACATACCATATTGTTTGGAGAACCCAATGGACTCCTTTAATGCTGAGGAATTTCCCAATCATTCACATCCTGGTACCTCAGACATCTTTAGAAGACCTCACAGTGTAGATTCATCTACCAATCCGTCCAATCCTGAGGAAACTTCTCTAAGCCATGAAGAGATGCGCACAGCTGAGAGTTCATTGTCATGTATGGAATGCGGGAAAACTTTTAAGATGATTTCTGAACTTCATACACATCTCAGATCTCACACCAGTGAGCCCTTTTCATGTTCAGAGTGTGGGAAATGTTTCACTGAGAGAGAAGACTTTCATAAACACCTTAGAAGTCACACTGGCAAGCAGCCCTACATATGCACAGTGTGCGGGCAATGTTTCATTACGAAACCAGTACTTTTTAGACATCAGAGAAGTCACACAAGTGGACGTTCTTATTCATGTTCTGAGTGTGGGAAATGTTTCTGTCTGAAAAAGAAACTTCTTACACACCAGAAAATTCACACAGGAGAGCGTCGTTATTCTTGTTCAGAGTGTGAAAAATCTTTCGTCCATAAAGGAAACCTTCATATACACCAGAGAATTCACACAGGTGAACGTCCTTATTCATGTTCAGAGTGTGGGAAATGTTTTATTCATAGGGGAGACCTTCATAGACACCAGAGAGTTCACACAGGTGAGCGTCCCTATTCATGTTCAGAGTGTGGGAAATGTTTCACTCAGAAAAGGTACTTTCTTACACACCAGAAAATTCACACAGGTGAGCATTCTTTTTCATGTTCAGAGTGCGGGAAATGTTTCATTTTGAAGGGGGCACTTCTTAGACACCAAAGAATTCACACAGGTGAACGTCCTTATTCATGTTTAGAGTGCGGGAAATGTTTCACTCAGAAGGAACACCTTCGGGCGCACCAAATAACTCACACAAGCGAGCGTCCTTATTCAGGAGAGTATCTTTACTCATGTACGGCGTGCGGGAAATGTTTCTTTCAGAAAAGAGCACTTTTTATACACCAGAGAATTCACACCGGAGAGCGTCCTTATTCATGTTCAGAGTGCGGGAAATGTTTCACTCAGAAAGGAGAGCTTACTAGACACCAGAAAATCCACACGGGTGAACATCCTTATGCATGTTCAGAGTGCGGGAAATGTTTTATTCAAAAAGCGCACCTTCTTACACACCTGAGAATTCACACGGGTGAGCGTCCTTATTCATGTTCGGAGTGCGGGAAATGTTTCACTGTTAAAGCAAGTCTTCTTAAACACTTGAAAAGCCACACGGGTGAAAGCTCAGCATTGGATATATGTTTCGCTGTGAAGGGAGCACCGCTTGGACAACAGGGAAGTCACACAGACGAGCGTCTTTATTCGTGTTCAGAGTGTGGGAAACATTTCACTCGGAAAGGCAGCCTTCTTTATCACCAGAGAAGTCACAATGGTGAGCGTCCCTATTCATGTTCAGAGTGTGGGAAATGTTTCATCAAAAAAGGGAGCCTTGTTACACACCGGAGAACTCACACGGGGGAGCGTCCTTATTCCTGTTCGGAGTGCGGGAAATGTTTCATTCAAAGAGGAAACCTTCTCACACATCAGAGACTTCACACAGGCGAGCGCCCTTTCTCATGCCCCAAGTGCGGGAAACGTTTCATTCGGAAAGCGGATCTTCTTTTACACCAGAGATTTCACACGGGCGAGCATCCGTATTCGTGTTCGGGGTGTGGGAAATGTTTTAAGCATCAAGGGTACCTAACTAGACATCAGAAAAGACGCAGCTGCTGAATCTGTTGACAAATGCGGGGAAAAAAAGGAAAAGTGATGTGTTAGTGTTTTGGAGAACCTGATTGGCTCGGTGAGATCCGCCCCCATGGTTCTTCACTTTGTCTTTGCAAACCTAGATATTACTCAGTGAAAGTGGCAGTGACATCATCACTGTGCCGCACAGGGGCGGGGCAGAGGATAAAGCTGTGTTCCAACAGGGTCCTTCCACTCCAGGCTTCCCTGTATAAAACGTCAAGGGGAGATACAAGACCGGTCACCCTGCGTAAGGACGGAGAGAAGCTGCGACCGGGCTTCATTTCAGTAAACTCCCGCACATCGGTGACGTATAGGAGTTGTTTCCTGATGGATCACTCTGCACTCGGCACAACGAAGGCCACCAAGGGGTCTACCTATGAAAAGCATACGCACGGGCAAAACGCACTCCCTACCCAAACCAGTCCTCCTCCCCCGTCAGAGATGCTCGGTAAGCACCGGGCGCCTGTGGGTAATCATCCATGACCAGGAGATCGACAGCCACGGCCGTGACCGGTGGCGAGGGTAGGGCGTGCACACGGCTGGCGTGCGCCCCCTGCCCAAACCAGTCCTCCTCCCTGTCAGAGATGCTCAGTAAGCACTGGATGCTGGTGGGTAATCACCATTTGTGACCAGGTGATTGACAGC